CGACAAAATTACAGTTAAAAGGGAAGTTTCCCCCCGAGCCGCGCTCCAAAGCCGGAGCTTCCGCCGCAAAATCCATCGCTCCTCAGTCCTACCCCAGACTAGCGTTAAAAAAGTGGAGGGGAAAGAAGGAAAACGCAGGAAAAGGGGGGAAAAATAAGGCAACGGGGGGGAAAAAGGGCCGAATCCCGGCGCTTTTGTGTTTTTCCTGCAAATTTGGTGGGGAAAAGGCGCTGGATGGCRGCCATTCCCGCGGGATTTACCCTGGGATTTGCAGCCCGAATGGGAAGAAGGGAAGCRGCGCCTTTTTGTTGTTGTTTTGTCCTGATTTTGGGATATGGAAAAATTTGGGGCAAGGGGGGGAACATGCAATGTGGAGGGGCGGGCGGCATCCCGGGAATTATCCGGGAAAAACCTCACGGGCGCCTGCAGAAAAGGTGGATTTCCACCATTATGAGAGGCTGGCGCCGCTTCCCTTTTCCCGCTGTGCGGAAATATCCAGGGAAAACTGATGCAACCCYCCTCCCTAAGGCCCATCCCCCCCAATCCCATGGGATCGGCCCTCCCCGTTGCCGAAAGTCTTTGGATTCAACGGGCGCCCAAGGAGGCGCCTCCGGCTCCGTTTTAATTCCCCCCCACACTCCGGAGCATCCGAGTCCTCCGGGAACGCCGGCTCCGGCAATCCGGCTTTTCCCATGTAGTGCTTGTGGCTTGGAAAGGGATTGGGAATAAAGATGCCCAGCTCCCTTATCCGGTTGCTGGCGGTGAAGGAAGGAGGGGAAAAAAGCCGGGAATGCTCCGGAGCCGGGAAGGGAGGAGGCGACGGAAGATGCCGGGGAAATAAAAAGGGCAGGATGGGATTTCATGGAGCGTCGGCCACGGCGGCGGTGGCGGCGGYGACGGGAGCTTCCGGAGCGGGCGGCTCGGCCCGGAGCGGATCCGCTTTGGCGAAATTCATCTCCAGGATGTGGCGCTGCAGGTGCCGCACCCATTCCTCCTGGATGGAGAGGGGCCCTTGGAATTCCACCTCGCAGAACCTGTCGGATCAAAGGGGGCAAGTGAGGCGTTGGGGGCCAAATTGGGCTGTTTTCGGCCAATTTTGGCCGTTTTGGGCCCAATTTTGGCCGTTTTGGGGCCCATCTTGGTCCCTTGGTGGCTCAAATTTAGATGTTTGGGCCCAATTTTGGCCAGTTTGGGCCCAATTTTGGCCATTTGGGCCCAATTATTGCCACTTGGACCCAATTTTGGCCCTTTGGGGACCCAAATTTAGCTGTTTGGGCCCAATCTGGGCCATTCGGGGGCCCAATTAGGGCTGTTCAGGGGCCCAAATTCAGCTGTTTGTGCCCAAATTTGGCCACTTGGGCCCAATTTGGCCCATCTGGGCCCAATTTTGGCATTTTTGGGCCCAATCTTGGCATTTCGGGGGCTGAAATTTAGCTGTTCGGGCCCAATTGTGGCTCTTTGGGGGCCCAAATCTGGCCATTTGGGCCCTATTTGGGCCATTTGTGGGCCCAATTTTGCCCGTTTTGGCCCAGTTTTGGCCATTTGGGGCCCAGTTTTGGCTGTCTGGGGGCCCCATTTGGGCCATTTGAGGGCTCTATTGTGGCCATTTTGAGGCCCAAATTTGGTCGTTTGGGCCCAAATCTAGCCATTTAGGACACCAAATTTGGCCATTCAGGGGCCCAATTATCGCTACTTAGGCAAATATATGGCCATTTGGGGACCCAAATTTAGCTGTTTAGGCCCAATTGGGGCCATTTTGGGGCCCAATAGTGGCTGTTTGGGTGCAATTTTTGTCATTCAGGGGCCCAATTGCGGCCATTTTGAGGACCAATTGCGGCCATTTTGAGGACCAATTGCGGCCATTCGGAGGCCCAAATTTGGCCACTTTGGCCCAATTTCGGCCGTTTGGGCCTCAAAACCGCCACGGCAATGGGACAAGGGGATGCCGGGGAGCGCGGCCGCCCCTCACCTGCACTTGAGGGTGTAGATGTTGCCCACGAACTTGACGAGGGAGGTCTGGGGGGGCCGGGGCACGAGCGAGGGCACGGGGCGCACACGGGGCGGCGGCGGCCGCGGCTCCTCCAGCTTGTGGGGGAAGGCGGAGGCCGGCGGCGGCGGCGCCGTCGCGTCGTCCTCGCGCCGCAAGGGCCCGTCCAGGGGCCGCCCTTGGCGCCGCTCGAACTCTGCGGGGATGGAGGGAGGCCGAGTGAGGGGATTGGGATGGGGAGGATGCGATGGGGAGGCTGAGGGAGGAGGGAAAGGCGGCGGGGAGGCCGAAGGAGGGACAAGGAATGAGGGAAACGTGACGGGGAGGCCGGAAAAGGGACAAGGAACGAGGGAAAGGCGTCGGGGAGGCCGAAGGAGGGACAAGGAACGAGGGAAACGTGACGGGGAGGCCGGAAAAGGGACAAGGAATGAGGGAACGGCGACGGGGATGCCAAAGGAGGAACGAAGAAATGAGGGAAACGTGATGGGGAGGCTGAATGAGGGTCCTGGAATGGGGGGATGAGACAGGGAGGCCAAAGGAGGGACAAGGAATGAGGAAAATGTGACGGGGAGGCCGAATGAGGGTCCTGGAATGGGGGAAATGTGATGGAGAGGCCGAGGGAGGAGGGAAATGCAATGGGGAGGCTGAAAGAGGGTCCTGGAATGGGGGGAATGCGATGGGGAGGCCGAAAAAGGGACAAGGAATGGGGGAAACGCGACAGGGAGGCCGAAAAAGGGACAAGGAATGGGGGAAACGCGACAGGGAGGCCAGATGAAGGACGAGGAATGAGGGAAATGCGACGGGGAGGCTGAGGGAGGGTCCTGGAATGGGGGAAATGAGACAGGGAGGCCAAGGGAGGAAGGAAATGCGACGGGGAGGCCAAAAGAGGATCAAAGAATGGGAGAAATGTGATGGGGAGGCCGAAYGAGACTCAAGGAATGGGGGAAAATGCGACAGGGAGGCTGAGAGAGGAGGAAAAGGTGACAGGGAGGCCGAATGAGGGTCCCCAAATGGGGGAAATGCAATGGGGAGGCCAAGGACTGAGGGAAGCGCGACGGGGAGGCCGGATGAGGGACGAGGACTGAGGGAAGCGCGACGGGGAGGCCGGATGAGGGACAGGGAATGGGAAAAATGTGACGGGGAGCCCGAAGGAGGGTCTTGGGATGGGGGAAATGCGACAGGGAGGCCGGATGAGGGTCAAGGAATGAAGGAAACGCGACGGGGAGGCCGAGTAAGGGCGCAACGGGGAGGGCGCAACAGGGAAACGCAATGGGAGCACCGCAGCACGACGGGAACRCCACGGGCGTACGGGAGCACCCAAGGGCGCCCCACTCACTGTGGATATTGGGCCGCTGCTGCTGCTGCTGCTCCTCGAGCTTGACGAGCGCCAGCGGCGCCGCGGYGGAGGCCGCCCGCTCGCCCGCCGCCCCGTCCAGGAACTTGCCGGGCTCGAGCTCGGCCAAGCCCTTGGCCAACAAGGCGCCGCCRGCGCCGGCGTGGAGGGCGGCGAGGGGCAGGCGGGCGGCGCCGGCGCCGCGGAACTTCTTGGCGAAGGGGCGGCCTCCCTGGATGTAGGTGCGGTAGGCGCCGGCCTTGTGGGGCCGGTGGCGGATCCACTCGCGGAGCGTCTCGATGGGCGAGCCGTTGACGCACCACTCGGTGACGCCGAACTGGCGCAGGTGGGCGCGCGCGTGGCTCGCCAGCGCCTTGCGGTTCTCGAAGTAGAGGCCGCAGAGCTCGCAGCAGGCCTCGCCGGCTGCGCGGGAAGGGGACAGGCGGCCGTGAGCGGCGGGAGCGGGGGTACCGGGATCCGGAGGCTCCGGCGGGGCTTGGGTCTTATTGGGTTTGGGGGTCTCCGTGCCCCTTTCTGGGGTGGGGAGGAGGCGGAGAGGCCACCCCCACGTCTTCAACCCGCTTCCCCGATCCCCGCGGAGCCTCCGGAGGCCTCAATCCCTGGATACGCCGCGTTCCGCCCTCCATCCACCCCCTGGGAGGCTCATTCCCTGGATATGCAACGTTCCCATCTCCCTGGACCCATTGGGAGGCCCCATTCCCGGGATATGCAATGTTCCCCTCTCCATGAATCCATTGGGAGCCCCGTTCCCTGGATATGCAACATTCCCATCTCCCTCCATCCCTTGGGAGGCCTCACTCCCTGGATACACAACATTCCCCTCTCCATGAATCCATTGGGTGGCCTCATTCCCTGGACATGCCACATTCCGCCCTCCATATATCCATTGGGAGGCCTCATTCCCTGGACATACAATATTCCCCTCTCCATCCACCCATTGGGATACAATGAGAACAATTGGGCCTCCAATAGCTTGGGCCTCCAATAGCTTGGGAACAATGAGGCCTCCAGGGATCCGCAGCACCCACGGGGACCTCCCTGCACCTTCCCATAACCCCAGGATGGCCACGGAGAGTAGGGATCATTCCCATCCCAACAGA